CTCAGCACATTTTGCTACCTGATCTTTGACAAAAAGACCAAAAAGTTAAACTGTAGGAAGGATAGTCTCTTTAACAAATGGTGCTGGAAAAACTGGCTACAAATATGCAGAAAATTGAATCAGGACTCATTTCTCACCATGCAGTAGACTAAAATCAAAATGGATGAAACAGGTAAATACTAAAATGGAAACATTTAATCTGCTGAACAATTAAATAGATAAAATTCTTGAAGACATAGGTGCAGGCAAGGACTTCCTGGATGAACCTAAAGTGCACAAGAAATAACATTCAGAATCAATGGCTGGGACCATATCAAATTACAAACCTTCTGTATAACAAAAGACAGAGTGAAGAGACAACCTACAGAATGGGAAAAACTTTTTACCAGCTATTCCTCAGAGAGAGGACTAATATCTAGAACACAAAAAGAACTCAATAAAATTAGACCTCCTATAAAGTAAAAGATCCAGTCAAAAAATGAGCAACTTAAATAACAGATACTTCTTAGAAGAAATAGACATGGCCAACAAATACATGAAAAAATGTTCAACATCTCTGGCCATTAGAGAAATACAAATTAAAACAACACTGAGATTCCATTTTACTCCAGAAAGAATGCCTATCATCAAAAAATCAGATAACGAATTTTTATGAGGCTGCAGAGAAAAAAGGAGCCCTCCATTATTGGCAGGAAGGCAAATTAGTACAACTATTACGGAAATCAGTATGGAGATTTCTCAAAAAACTAAAAATACAAATTTCATTCAACCAAGCTATTCTTCTCCTGGGTATCTTCTCAAAAGATTTAGTCATCATATTACAGTGATATATGCATGCCCATGTTTGTAGCAGCACAATTCACAATAACTAAATCTTGGAAGTGGCCCATATGTCCATCAACAGATAAATGGATTAAAAAAATGTAGTATTTATATACAATGGAGTACTTACTGCTCAGCTACAAAGAAGCCTAAACTTGAGTCGTTTGTAGGGAAATGGATAGACCTTGAGACCATATTGTTAAGTGAAATAAATCAAAACACCCACACTTAAATATTGCATTTTCTATAAGAAATCCAAAATATACAGAGCAAAATAAAAGATAGACAGTGGTGGTGGTAGTGGTGGAGGAGGAAAGTAGAGAGAAAAAATGCAGGGGAAAAAATGCAGCCAAAAGCAAAAGGTAGGGAAGGGGACATAAAAGAACTAAGATGTGTTGTATAGATGTAATAACTCCATACAATGAATGTTAATTATTATGTACTGCAAATGTATACTAACCCAAGAAGAAAATAGTGTATGTACATGCTTTTTAAAGTTCATTACTTCCTTAACAATATTTCCTTCAGTAGGAATGCTATTGAGTAGGTGTATGGAGTAGCTTGGATTCTATTCTAGATGGAAAGCTACTTGTAGGTAGATGGGTGAAACTGGGGTTCTGATTTGAACATGTGAAACTGGACATGTTCCACTAGGTTGTCCCAGTTAAGTGTGCTATGGCAAACAGAAACACCTAAACAACACCTAGGATTTGGAGGCAAATCCTTTATTTTACACTGGTGTTCTGGTCAAACTCGTTCCCACCAGCAAAGAAAGCTGGGTCCTGCCCTCTTGGTGTTCTGGGTTTTTAATAGGCTTTTACAGGCAGGAAGTACAGAATCAGAACAGTACGTTTGTTTGTTTTGGGTTTTTTTGGAACTAGGAATTGAACTAGGGACCTTGAGCTTGCCAGGCAGGCACTGTGCTGCTTAGCTATATCCTGGCCCAGAACTGTAGGCTTTTGATAGGGCAGGGCAGGTGCTGTGACTCTGGGGAACAGGTGGGTCCAAAGAGAAATGGAAACATAGTGCCCAAGACATGGATGAAGAACCAGGAAATGAGCTGCAGGCATCTGCACACAAGAGAGGAGACCATATTGTTGTAGGCAGCTGTGTTAGACAGAAATATTATAGACAGACAGGGCTAGAAGGGCCAATATGGAAGACAAGATACCTTGCATCTGTAGGCCAGACCTCAAGACAAAGATTAAACAAATGCACCACGTACCTCCCTAGGGATGGAGCTCAGGGACTGATATTCTAAATAGGTAGCAATCTCCTTGAAAAACCAGGAAGAGCCACCAACCCAACCCCCTACAGGAAGGGCGCTGTTCTGTATTCATGCCCACTTGCTACCTGACTCGCTTTCCCATTTGATCCTGATTTAATCAATTTTACCTGAGCAATTATACTTGTAATCTTATTGGTTGACCATAGTTTTGTCCCACCTCATACCCACGATGTGAGTTCCCATTTTTCCCCCACCTTGGACCCACCTCACCTTGTGGTTTTGTTCTATAAAAGTCCCTGGAAAAGACTAGTGCCTTGGAAACCCACTCAGGTCCCCTGCTGTGTCTCTCTTCCCCTCCTTCCCTCCTCCTCCTCCTTCTTCTTCTTCCTCTTCTTTTCTCTTTCTCTTTCTCTTTCTTTCTCTCTCTCTCTCTCACTCTCCTCTCTCTCTCCTTTGTCTCTGTCTCTCTCTGTCTCTCTGTCTCTCTCTCTCTCTCTCTCTCTCTCTCTCTCTGACAGAAGCTTTCTTTCCCTCAATAAATATATTCTGCTCTTAACCTCCATTGTTTTAGAGAGCACAAACTCATCCCAGATATCTTTCAGGTTGGGAATTTACTTCCCCTATATCAATATTGTACAGTGCAGGTTGGGAAAATAAAAACAGAATAAAAAGGCCTTTTCCACTTTAAGTGTACTCCTGAAAATAGGTGGGGGGCAAGGTACGTCCTCTCACAGGTCAAGCCAGTTCAGGGGTGCCCCGGGCCACCAGAATCTGAGTGGTGCTCCTACTCCCTCAGAAAGCTCCTTCACATACCCCAGTATTTGCTAACAATGCTCTTTGCTACTGAATTTAGGTGCCAGGGTGTATGTACACAACTTTATGTACCACAAAGGGAAAAAAAATGTTGCAAATTAAACTGTGATACAATGTTTTCTAGCAACCTAAAATGTTTATATTTCTTAGAAACTGTTTAGACTTGAGACGTGAGTTTTTAGCCATATGGCACATTCATAAAAGGGGAAAATAGGCATAATATTAAGCAGCTAAGTATCTCAAAGCTTATCTGAATTCAGAATACAAGTCAAATCTTCAGATTTTCTCAACGTGTTCCAGCATGAGCGTTAGTAGTGTCCCGTAAAAAGTACTTCAGGGCTGGGATGTACCAGGGCTGGGACGGTAGCGTGCTTGTCTTACAAGCAGGACTCATGTTCAGTACCCAGCCCCTGGGACGGGGGAATGCTCCACTGTCAATTCCAAGATTTTCTTCTAAACTGCTGGTCCCTTGTCTGTAAATTTTTGTGTGGATGCAAGACAATGAAAACTGTGGCTTGGCCAACAGCTTTGAGTGGTATGGAACTGTGTGGGAGGGGTGCAAGATCAGTGTATACCGGTAGTATGTGCACTTCTATATGCACTCTCTATGATGCAGAGAGATTTGGGTAGCGCTCAGTTTAAGATATCCACACATATGCCGTGGGATATACAAACCTGAAACTCAATCAAGAGACCAAGACGGAGAAAAAAGTTTGTAGACCTGGCATTTGCAAGCAAATCGATTAAACTCAAGGCCATCTGCATGTGGCCATCTGCTATGATCTGAATGTATCTCCCAAAGTTCATGGGGCTGAAAACCGAACCCTCAGTGCAAGAGTGTTGGGAGACAGGGTTCTAAGGAGAGGCGACTGGGTTATGACCTTCATGAATGGAATGAGCTAGCCTGAGAGCGGACTTGATACAAAGAGCTCAGCTCTTTCCTGCTCCCTTCTCATTCTCCTGCGCTCCAGCTTTCCACCCTGGGGTGACCCCGCGCCCGACGAAAGCATCACGCCCCTGCACCTCCCAGCCTGTAAAACCCTGAGCCAACTAAACCCTGTTCTAAGTCACCCACGTGCAGATATTTTCATGGCATCAGAAATCTAACTAAGACGCTGTCTAAGCGAAGTCTAGGGAAGAGGGCCAGTGCTGAGTCTTGGGATAAATATTCAGAAATCTAGAGAAGCCAGCCAAGCCAACTGAGGGAACAGCCTTGGTGGCCCGAGAACTGGACGACATCCGTAAAGCTGAGGAGGAGCAGGCCGGGCAGCTACCTCAAGCGCTGCCTGCTGGGAGGCCGCACAGGCAGAGCGTGCGAAGAACCACGGGCCTCGGCAGCATGGAGGGCGGGAGAGACCTTGGCCAGGAGGACTTTGCGTGGCCGTGGCCGGCGACGAGGGAGCTGGATGCAAACCAGACAGGCTGGCCTGGGCCCAGAAGGGCTGAGGTTTCCCGCCTCCTGGAGCACCTCCGCTGCCAAAGGTGAGCGCCCCGCCGAGACCCGTGGTGGCGCTTCCTCGCCAAGGTGTGGGCCCCGCTGCAGGCGGCCGGTTCCCAACGACGCGCAGTTACGAAACGCTGGGGAAGGCGAGGGCCGCCCCGACCGCGAAGCAGCAGGCGGTCGGCTCCGCACGGAACCCTGCGCCACGGCGGCAGGAGGCCTGCAGCGCCCGGGCTTCACAGCGCTGCCCCTCACCCCTCGAGGGGGCTCTCCGCGCCTTCCGCTCTCGAGCGAATGTCCCTGCTGCGGCCCCGTCGGCCCCGCTGGCGTCTCACTTCCGCAAGGCCCGAGGCGCCGCCCGCCGCGCACCTGGCAGGCGGCCCCTTTGTTGCGGGGCCCCTGTTTCCCGGGGACCCTGCACCGTGCTGCTCAGCACCCCACCGCCTTCCCAGCTCTATTTGAGCCGTTCCCATAAGGAAGCACCCATCCTTATGCTGGGCCCTTTTTAACTTCCTACAACTCTCCCTGTCCCCCAGCAGCCGGAGCCCAGCTTTTTCTAATCTCAGACACCCCGCCCTCCCTCTCCAGCTCAGCCGTCGCAACGATCTCCTACGTGGCACAGCCCACTGCGCATGCTCCGTAGGGCGCTCGCCCGGGCGACCGGCGCGATGGCGTCAGCGCGCACGGCGTGAGTGGGCGGGGCGCGCCACGTCGGCGCCAGGCGTCCACGCCCCTGCCCGTCCGCGGGGGTTGCTGTACCCGCGCGGCGCGCGCTTCCCGCGCTTGTTCAGACTCGCGCTCACACGCGCGCTCACACGCGCACTCCCGCCGCCCGGCCCCTCCGAACCCCGGTGTCACCATGTCTTCGCCTCCCGAAGGAAAAGTAGAGACCAAAGCTGGACACCCGCCCGCCGGTACGGACTCGTTTGCACTTTCTCGGGGGCGCCGGGCGGGGAGGGCCCGGGTGCGGGGTCGGGGTCCGCGAGCCCCGGTGCGCGTGCGCGGGCGCCCAGGTTCGCGCGGGCAAGTGCGGCCCCGAACCCGCGCCGGCTGCACCCCGCCGGCCCGCGCTGCGAGGACGCGCCCCGCTCCCCGAGCGCGCGGCCAGTAGCCCACGCCGGGGCTTGCGTGCAGATGGGTGCCCTAAGCCATGCACAACCTGCAGACAGCTTTACGGTTATTCCCTAGGAACGTGCAGATGCTTGGAAAAAAAAAACATTGAAAGGCAGTGTTTTCCATATGATGATCATATTTTATACGAAAGAGCCGAAGGAGCAGAAATAATTCTTAAGATCACTCAGTATGACTTCTTGGACCACCTCTTCCAGGTCCACCTTTTCCTCAAAAGTCCTTTAAAGAAAAAAAGCAAATCGTAAACTTCTGAGCCCAGGAAGTTAGGCCCAGGAGAGAGCCATCTTTCTTGGAAAATAGGCATCAGAGCAGCCTTTCTGTTCGTGCGGTCTCCTCTGCGCACAGTTCCGACTGTGTTCACACCGGCCGATTTCCATTTCTGCTGTCCTTCCCGGAAGCCGGTTGGTCCGTATGGAAGGACAGTGGTGAGTGGATCAAAGGCGGTGGGTCGCAGAAGCGAGGGTGTTTTAGCGCCTTTATGGCACACATTGGTGCTAAAAACTCAGTCTTCTGGTAACTGAAGCTTAAAGGGACGTGGCTTTTTTGTGCCACGTATGTGCCATCTTCTCATAGTAAAGCTTCGTGAGATTTCAGACCGCTGCCTTCCCCACGCCGCCCCACCCCTCACAGGGCACAAATTATCTGCCTCATCACAGGGAATAGGACCAGTTCTTTCACCGACAACCGAAGTAACCAGCAGTGGGGTGGAAAAATGCCTAACGAACTTAAGGGGCAGAGTGCAGAAAGTGGCCCACTGTATTGGAAAGGGTTGGGGAGCTTTTGTGTTGCCTGATTTAAAGAAAACAAAAAACAGGGAGGCTGAGGGTGTAACTCAGTGGTAGAAGACTGGAGATCTGGGTTCAATCCCCAGCACCAGAAAGAAAACAAAAACAAAAGCATCCTCATAAAGATTTCCTTTCAGGGTAATTGATCTTTCCTTCCCACAGCAGCTGGTTTTTGTCTGCTCCCGCCGGGTGATGAGTTCATTGATGTGTTTCTGTTGGAATGATACCAAGTCTAGGTAGCAATAATTAAATTGCATATGGGGACATAAACATACGGAGACATTTTTAAGATCAGAGGTGTGAACTGTGCATATTAACTCCTTGGGGGAAGTTTCCTACAGGCTTCTGATTGTCTGAGTTGTGAGCAGCTAAGTTTTTTAATTACCAATTAAAAAGCTTATTTATGCCTAAGGAGAGAGGAGGTGACTTCTTGGCACCTGATCGCCCAGAGAGCTTGGGCTCCGGGTTTGGGGCATACCGCTGCACTTTTCTGAGACTTCGATTTTCCTCATCTGTGAAGCGGGAGAATGGGCCGTGCCATCTTCCTCTAGGGGTGTCCAGGGACTGTTTGCTGCTGGGAAGCTCCTGCTGTTGTTCTGTTGCTTGCAACTCTCCCTCTTTTTCCGGATCAAAGCCCCAGGGCAGGTAACGCACTGAACTCAGTAACTCCTGGTGGACCCCAAATTTAGCAGGAGTGCTAAGGGTCACTGTCACTGTCACTCAGCAGTTTCCAGGGCCAGTTAGACTCGGCCAGAGTTGAAGGAAGGGCGTGGTCCCGGCCGAGAATCGTGGGTTGCAAGGTGCCCTATAGGCGGCAGTATTGCCCTCTCCTCAGTGCCCCTGCGGTGCCTCCCGCGTCGCAGAGCCCCCTGCCTGCACAGATTTTCCTCAGAAACCTCCCAGTGTTCTTGTGTAGTCGGGCATTGTCAGCGAATAGACTGTGTTTTAGAGTCAATACTAAACCAAAAAAATGCAACCTACGAAAATAAAGGATAACCATCAAGGGTAGCCAAGAGCACAGTTCATAAATCAAAATAACTACCTTATAAACTTAGGGAGCACTTTCATGAAGTGACTAAATTATTTAACAGACTTGTACTTAAATCTTCAATCAGAAATAATAAAACTCTTTGACAGTGACTCTCTTGCTGTTCTTTTGTGTTTGCTCTTTATTGCTCTCAGACCCAGTCCCCTCTCCCTCCCCTGTTCCCACAGTATCCCCATCTTCCCTTACCACACTTTCCTCCTCTTTCTTCTCCGCGCTTCCCCAGCTGGGTCCTGTGAATGTCTTTATCCCACAGCGCCTGGCAGGGATACTCAGTGAATAGCTCTAGACGGACTTCCGTGCAGTCTTCTCTCCCCTCTCGCTGCTGCACGGTGAGCTGGACACCCTGGCTCCCATCTCAGAGCCCTCTCCAGTTTGGAGTAACAATACGCATTTGGGTGAAACATGCCTGTTGAGTGGTACAACGTGTCCACACAACCTGACGTTTTTATTAAGGTAAGGACACGAGGACAGTGCCATTCCCACAGCTATAATCCAGCACTCCAGCAGGCTGGAGCGGGAGGATTGCAAATTGGATCCCAGCCTGGGCAACTTGGCAAGACCCTATCTCAGTGAAAAGGCTGGGACATGTAACTCGGTGCAGAGGCCCTGAGTTTGATCCCCAGTACCACAACACAGATATAAAACCTGGCCGAGCTGTTGGGAGTCCTGTTGGCAACTTTGAGCCAGTGACCAGGGACCAACCTGAAGGGAGTGCAGCAGCCCAGCGCAGGACACCATCCCTTGCCAGGTACCGCCTCCCGAGGCATGAGGTTGGTGTGCAAGTTGGAAAAGGCTTCCGAAGAATGTGGAAGGAAGGTGTCCTGCAGACACGGGTCACTGCACGCTCTGCATCGTGTTCTGCAGGTGTCTCAGTGGAAGTAACCCAGGTCCATGACTTGAGACGCTACCACTGTTCTCCACTACAGAATACTTGCAGAGACATGGGGTGAAACTTTCTGTGATGAGAATTCCTACAAACCTGGATGAGCAAATAGCATTAGTAGAGGCTTTCAGTGTTTCTCTAACAGCAGTAATAACATTCCACAGCAGAAAGGAGGTTGTGGTACAAGCCACGCTATTACTCACTCCTGCCGGTCTCTGAGCTTTGGCAGTGATGTGGATAAAATCTCTGGTAGGTACACGTTGCTGGCCCTGTTCTCACACACCCACATTTCCCAGGGAGCCCAAACCCTGTGTCAGTGAAGTGTCCTAAGTCTTACATGGACAGCATTGCATATTGCTAACTTTATGTAAATTTTCTTCAAAAAGCAAACAACATCCCCCATAGAGCTGAGTCAAATGGAAACAATGCGCATGATTGTACTTGAAGTGAAATGGGAAATAGACCATTTTGCTATTTTTAGTAACCCAAATAATTCAGTTCTGTCATACTAATCAAGCAGGAGTTGAGGGTTTATTTAAAAGGTTGTGGGTGATAACTCCCTGAATTCTCTTCCCGAAGGAAGGTTTTCAGATGGTCCAGGCTGCTGTGTGCCTGGAATGGAAGGCTGATCTGTGTTTTGTTGTATTTAGCTCCCAGTCTCAGGCCAGCTAAGCAAGGTCCCCATGTGCACAGCCTCGGCACTGGTCAGAGGTTGGAGGCGCGGGTAACTGGCCTGCTCCTGCTCCCGGCGCACCACCCCTGCAAATCTGTCAGTCACTGCACTGCTTCGGCAGCTGCCAGGCAGTTTCCCTTCTTGCTCAGCTCACTTAGTGAGAGGCTGCGTGGGGTACAGGGTCAGCCCTGCACTGGTTTCAGCCCAAACCATTGCTTCCACCTGCCTGCACATGCCAGCAAGCCCCTGGCAGTACCCCACGGGGTGGGGGGGCTGTATTGTGATCCCCGCTATTGATGATACTGTTGGACGACAGTACTTGGGCTTCCCAAACATTTTCTATGCCTCTGGCCTCTTACCCTTGTCTCACCCTCATGTGTCAGCCTTCTTGAGAGTCCCTTGGCTTGCCAGGGGTCTGTCTTCTGTCGCTGCCTCTGTAGACAGCCAGGCATGGTGACACAGCTAATTCCCCCTGTCCCCCACAGAAGTCCTCCTAAGTCAGTCACACGCTGGCCCTCCTGTCACCCTCCTAGGTCTGTCACACGCTGGCCCTCCTGCCAGCATGTAGGGAGGCACTGTAGTGACCCATGGTACCCGCCTGGAGACAGATCCTGCCTGTGACTGTACCTCTCTGGGAGCTGAGACAGGAAGATCGCAGGTTCCAGCCCAGCCTGGGCAGTGCAGTGACTTAGTGAGACCCTGTCTCAAAAAAAAAAAAGCCTGGATGTAGCTGAGTGGGAGGGTAGGTCCTGGGCTCAGCCCCCAGTACTGCACATTAATTAAATTGGATGCAGTGGCCGTACTCTCTTGTCTGTTCCCTTCAGGCAGTTCCATTCTCCTAATCTCACAGGACGCAAGACATTCAATTCCATTTCCCCTTGCTTTCTGCCACTGCAGGGCTCTACCTGAGATCATTAGGTTTAATCCTAGCCTACAACATGCTGGTGGTTTTCTGTTTGCTTTTGTTCTCCCCAGCAGAGCAGTCCTGAGGACCTTTCAGCTCTTGTAGGGGGATTAGCATCCCTTTGAATAATATCTCAGTAGCTCTTTCCAGGGAGAACAAAGGTAGCTACACTTGCCCGTCATGCTCCAGTTCCCGCAGGCCCTGCTTTGGGAACACCTGTGTTCATGAACAGCCCCTCCTCCCTGCTGGGCACTGCACGCAGCTCATGGGCTCTTACAGTAGCAACCCTGGAAAGACCTCCTCACTGCCCGCCTTTCCTCTACAGGTTTTCCCAGCCCGCTGGTGAGCATCAGCGATGCCCTGATGCTACAGGAAGTGTGGGCCAGTGATAGTTGGTAGTCTTTGGCCTTCCAAGTGCTCCTGGAAGTGGCATGGTAGGCAGGACCCGTCTCCAGGCCAGTACCACAGGTCACTGCAGCACCCCGCAGCT